CGGTTCATTTTTGACCACCTTTAATATTAACAAAATCACCTTTCAAAAGTAGGTCAGGCGTTTTTTTTGTGAAGTACGGTATATTAAAATTGAGTCTAATTCGAACCGATACTACTCTTCAAAAAGTGAAGACTATTTTCTTTATTCAGTGTGGGTCGCGGCCCACGGATCTTACAAAATTCTCCTATCTTCGTACCATCATTTGTTTAGATACTCTGTCGTAGTATTTATTTTGAGCTCCAATCATGTAAGATAGATACATGTACATCTTTTTACGTTACATATCCCATTACACTTTACCATATTTATCTGATTGGAACTGGCCTACCATAGTGCCCTGTATTGAGTTAGTGTGTTTCACAGTCAGATTATGTCAATCGCAAATGAATATGTCAGACGGTATTGAGTTGTTTAGACAGCTCATAGCATGCAATTTAGTGATTCTCCCTCCACAACTAGCAGTACCTCAATTGCACGCATAATGTCGAAATGATGTCGATCTCAATTAGTTAGCGGTAACGTTTCTGAAGGTTTTGGCGCTGACAATTTAATTGATATGAGCCTTCACGCATACGAAAATTTGTTCGTGCATGTCAATTACATCTTGATCCATACGGTGAGCGTAGCCCACCACACACCAAACCAGGACCACGCTACCTCAATGGAAATATAAAATTGTGCCACAGATACAATACAGTATTCGGCCATTCTCATTTCTTGAAGTTCACATTGAACTTATAGCTTACTCGGTTAGCAGCTGACACATATAAAGCAGATGGATGGCAGCAGTTCAGGTAAAAATCTTTTCACCAAAGAAAATGGTCTCGAAGCTTCTCCAGTTCATAACTGGTCACGGTGGGCTCTTTTTTATACTTGATATCTTTAAGTGCTTGGAAAAAATGTCTTAATTGAGCTGTGCATTCTATTAAACGTCCACATTATCCCACTTGTTTTATTTCGCAAGCTCATCATGTCATTTAATTACAATAACGTGACAGAAGTCTCGCAATAAGCTGACCATGTATGAATACATTGCCATGAACTCATTGGAGTCCCCTTAGAAATCAATAAATAAATTAGTCTACCATGAATGCACTTTATGATACTGGCATGAAGATTATCTGCTTCAGTAGTCGAAAGAGGTCACCAAAAGAGCCGGTAGATTCATTCCATCATCAATGACAAGTGAAAGTTTTTATGCAGACGCGTGGGGGATAAACAGAGCAAGCCGCTGACGCATTGTCATGACGATCGGGCCATCAAAATAAAGCCCCAGTTGATTTGTGTAAGTTTTAAAAATACATGTCAACTAATTCTTGACGACAGAAGTCGCAGACAACTAACTGCATATAATAGTGAGGCTAATAGATCTTTTCCTTCAAATTCCGAGGATATGAATATTATTCAATTTTCGAGCTTTAAAAATATCATCACTTCATGAATTAGCAACATTCAATACCAGATTCCATATCATAAATCCTATATTTACCAACTCGCCTGTCGCGTATTTCTACACGCTGTGATGAGGGGAACAATGGGAGTGTATTGTTGGTTCTGCACGAGCTGTAGCAGACAAGCCGTCGCCTGGGCACATGAGGGGTACGTTGATTAAATTACTTTATTAACTTGATATATGGGGTACGCTGGGACGGCAGTAAATGCAATCGTTTTTTATCCATTATCCTTTTTTCTAGCCACTCAAAAGACCTACCCAGCCACAATGCGATCAAGCTGCACTATATTCGTCGCTGCAGTTGCGCTTCGTGCCATGTATCATGCCGATACGACAGCAAGTTCGTCCGAAATTTCCCCTTCAAATCTGGCCGATACAGCAATGTCGAGGGATGTTACTCCCGTGCGATTCCTGCGACACGTTTCTAAACAACCTATCGCTAAGGACTTGATAAATGAAGAAAGGTCCCTCGAACCTTTTTCCAGAAGATTCAATCACGTTGTCGACTATATTCGTGAGAGGTCCGAAGCGCAGAAGATAATAACAACACAACCCACAAGCGTCAATTTCTCTAAACGAGACGATTTTCCTAATCTTAAGCTAGCTGTAGACATCTCACGCGTTAAACCTCCTGTTAAACCTCCTAACAAGTGATCGCAGGGTTATAGGGTTTTGTCAGAATCAAGTTTTTTAGGCGTCACATGGCATTTTTTTTGAGTTGTGAAGAAATAGATGAGATCCTCGTGGGACAACACAGTGTTTGCTTGATACTTTCCGAAAGAGGTAGGGTGGACGATAAGATATCGGCCCGAGCTGTATCTAATCGGAAACCCTCGTGAAAATGGTGACCAAATAGAATCTGGCGCCATCGCGTCAATAAGATTAGTGAGTTTCCCTTAGTGCTTGCCTCCTTAGACTGCTTATACAGTCTAGGAGCGCATACATACGCCTGATCAGGCGGTGTGAATACCCGCAAACTATGTAGAGTCCAATGTTCCCGTGTTGGGAATACTTCTACTACAGATGGACTACACTCAAGTGTCCATTATTAGGCGCATCCTCCTAGCCATAAGAGCGCAAGCGTGATGCATTGTTGCTCAGTCTGGAGCAATGCCAAATTCATGGCATGATTTTCTTCATCCCGAAGAAAGGTGTTTTCCGACCCGGCTCGACGCTCAATATTAGCGGCCTCGCGGTGGGAGCCTTTATTTACCCCGTCCTGGCTCCTAGAGGTATTTTAAAAGCAAATTTAGAAACCGGTCAACACCTACAAGTGTAGCAGCAACAATCGTCATTAGCTTACCCAGTGTGTCCAGTTCCCGGGGTCAGCTAACTAAGCAGCTCATTCTCCTTGTTCATAAAGACTACAGCTACAGACGTCGCAAATGTTAGGGATGTTTCTCACTGACCACTGCCTCCACGCGGTAGACTTTGGCCCACTTCGTTCTGAGATGTGCCGTGTGACGTGATGAATGCCCGACGCATTGTAAATTTCAGCCAAGAGCGAAGGGGTATGTAAGGCACAAAAACTAAGTACCTTCACAAATGAGAAACTTAGAGTATCGCGGAGTAGCTCAGCAACTAGAGCCTCTCACTTTCCCTTAAACTTCATCGTCACTATCGAGCTTGTAGACTTTCCAATTTCAGTGCCCTACCTGGCCCTCGCAACACAGACGCTGTACTTCGAATTTGACGCGACATTCATCTCTTCTCTTGAAAGAATTTGGCTGAACGCGCACTGTTTTGGAGCTAGCCGCATTTCTACAAAATCGGTAATTATCATCGCCTCAGAAAAAGAGTTTGATGTCAACAATGAGTTTTTCATTCTTTGGACATAGCCTTCTCCTTCCCGTATTTTTGGCGGTGGAAACTTGTAACGCGCCCGTTACGTCTGGTTATGCGGTGCGAACACCCCCAGCATCTGTCGCTTAAGATCGTTTCGAATCGTTTGTGCCCCTGCCACTGAAAAACTGCACATTAGTGTCGATTGCTGATGGTGGGCACCCATTGTGGAAACTGAGCAAGCGCGACACGCTGTTGCTCCATTTGAAGTATTATTCAGTTTATGGTCGTCTCAATTTTTCTCGTCCGGATGGCGAAAATTTCCTCATCCTGCCATCGAAGAATAGGCTCTTGAGAAAATCAGCAACCTTACGGGGTGCCATCTGTTCTCCCACCGGTGCTATATTGGGGCGCTCCTGGGAGTGTATCTTTCACTAGCTTATTCTCATAGCTGCGGACAACTCCAGGCAACCGATCACCGCATCTGGTTAATTTCTCCGTCGGGATGAACGATAGGCAAAAAAATTCAAAGTATGTTCAACTTTCCAGGACAGGTGCTCAAACACGTTTCATCCTCGCAGAGGGTGTAGTTCTTTCGTGACTCAGTAAAGAGATTGACTACGAATTCTACCAAGTTCGAGCGACGTTGCTGTGCTCTTTGCACCGAGGAAGCATTGACTCTAACAGTCTGCGCCAATATTGGCGTATAAGTTGGGCTCATATGCGCCACTCAGGAGCGGAACCGAGAGCCTTTGAAATAATACGGGTTGTGCACCTAAGATTGCACGTATTACTTCAATTGGGACTATATCGAAATATGTACGCTCATGTCTCCAAAATGGCCTTTTTTGCTGACGTGCGACTAGCAATCCACGCGTACCACTTATTTCTTCTTTCCCAAGTTCCATCTACTTCATGACTTTCAGGAAAGTTGAGTATTTAATTTATAAGATAATCAGCTTTGCATCCCGCAAAATACTGAAAATATTTTGCCTACCCGATTCGCAATCCTGATAGAAAAGATTTCTACTATCTAACGCTGCCGATCAACGTTGGGTGGAAGCGCAAGAAAACGCGAACTAGGCCGCCCAAACATTGGTGATGTTGCTCGTTTAGTACGCCATGAAATGTTCCCTGAGCTGCACCTGCACACATTGCAGCTGTTTTTGTAGAATCAGTCATCATTGCAGTGCAATGTTCCGTTGAAATCCTGGTGGAGACTCGACAGCGGCATTTGCACCGATGCTTAAGTTTAGATGCAACCAAACGTATTGGAAAAAGCGAAAGCAATCAATTGATGTAATATGTATCGCACGATGATGACGTAATCAACAAGATCAAAAAAAGTCTTATTTTCGCAATATCCTCGGATGTGTGAATACGGACTTACATGTTCAATCTTCAGTATTAACATCGAGTCTTTCGGTTATTGGAACAAACAGAAGCAAATTGCATCACATTTTGACTTTATTCACTGTTGTCGATATTCTGCCGGCAATTCCTTTTTCAATCAGTGAGAAGTATGATTCCGGTCAGTCATGATTGATCTATAATATCAAGTCAGTCGTTTTGGGAAACATATGTTTTGTCTAGAAGCAAGAAAGATGCAATCTGAATCAAACTGTGATCGAATGAGAATAAGAAACGAAAACATCTGGAGCTGGAAGGATATTAAGCAACGAAGAGCAAGGGTTTATTATGCAGCAGAGAATTTAGCATCGGAAAACTGGGAATCCTCTGAGCAGATTGATATTCTCATTGCCAAATTAAGACACGCCAATGAAACTGACCGAACAGAATGGGAACTGAAGATGGGAATTCGTACCGGCAATATAATACCAGGCTTCTTGCAACAACTTCGTCGATTTCTTTCGAGCCATCGTCCTTCATTCCGCAAGAACTCTTATTGCTAGTATGCTTTCATTAATTAGCCACAGATTTGGGTCGAAGCAACAAAAGTAATCGGACATCAACACGTTTAGTAAATTCTGACAATTGTTTCCTTAGTTTAATCCTAAGAAGTCGCACCTAATCACCTATATGAACATCAACCCTGTTGGATCAATGGGAGGGATGATAAAAGGGATGCACTGTGATGGTCGCTTGCGAGACCTTTCAATCCCACATGATGGCGCCTCCATTTATAACGACGGGAGTTTGAAACGGTACGATATCTCAAAATTTGCAAATTAAGACAGATTGAGCAAGAAGAAACACTGAATGCGCAAGGAATGGTGTTGCTTATATCCCGATCATTACATTCCTATCATCCGAACAAGAAGTTAGGATCCATTTGAGATGAAACAACTGAACGTGTTGTGAACAAAGGGGGGTCGCTTTGCACTGGGCAATGCGAGTCTAATTCAGATCTGCAATTTGATTAGAAACGAACCGCGGAAGATACGCTTGGTCCTTAGATAGGTATGATTAAAAAAATGGCTTGAAAAAGCGATGAAGGAGATAAAAGAACCTGACACGAAATTCTGGGATCTCTACAGCGCTTCTTTAGTACACCGCTCCCATGATCAAACCACCGTCTTGCAGTTGCTTATCAAACACACAGCTTGTGGGGTTATAAGGCACTGCTAGATAAACTAGTATTGAACAGACTTTGTATGTACTTGGGATTTTCGGTCAGTAGCTTTGCATTGTTTTTAGAACGATGTTAGCTCGCCTGAAGGTTCTCTAAAATTGAAAAAATGCCAGAAATCCTAACAATGCTAGTAGAATAACCTATTCTTATAATTTAATTTAGTACCTTGATTATTTCAAGAGTAGCAGGGTCAATTCTAATTATGAAAACTTTCAATACGTAAATTTTGTCACAAGACTATCTTCATTGCCTGAAGTGTTAGTACCAAGGTTCTCTACTTTGCAGACTTCATATGTACCGATGCTTAGGTACAATTGACTACCCACAATTACACAAAGAGTTATGATGTTTTTGTACTGTCTTACAGAAGTGTAGGATGTAAATATGTTCGTGTTCAGTCCCCCTATGTGGATCATACCCCAGATGTGTGTACCACACGCACCCTGGGTGGATAGTATCATCTGTAGATCATCCCTATTGATGCAACCAAACCAAAAGACTCTTTCTTGCACACTGCCGTAGCATTTCAATAGACCTTCCTGATAATTTCTGAATCTTGGGCTTCTTCTTTCCAACAGGCGCAGACGTAGCATAGCACTTGAACGAGATGAAATAAAGATCAATATGTTAAAAAGTTCCTGTTAGCTAAGTCAAGTCAGAAACTTTTTAACGTTTTAACGTGTTAATATTTCAATTTAGTTTTTTTTAATAATTTGTAAGAAAAAGAAGCCGAAGATGCAGAATTCATCAAGGATATTTTGGATTGGAATGTTGCGGCAGTGTGCAAGAGGGAGTCTTTGGGCTGCATCATCAGGGATAATCCACATAGGTTCCATCCACACCCGGTGTTGATCCTCACAGAGGGAAGATTCACACGATTAGGATGATCCACACGAGGTATCATCAACACATAACAAATACATTAGTGCTGTACCACACTGTTGCACCCATTATCTTCATTGGTATACACAAAAGTTTCTTACAATTTTCCAAAAATATAAAATGTAATTTGCTAGATTAAAATATAATAATTATCGGGATGTTAAAGCCATATATCAATAGTAGTGACAACAGTAGAGTGTGTATTATACTGAATATACCACAAGAAAATTTCTTATAACACAAGAAATTTCCTAATAGCACTCCCACTAAGTCGCCATGATAACAGATGCTACCATGCGACCAAGTCCTGCGAATACATTGCAGATACGTTGCGATTAGTGCGCTTCTGCTATATGTGCTGGATAACATGTAGCTTACTACTACTCTGTAGTT